CGATAGTAATAGTAATAATAATCGTAATGAATAATAGTTACTAGTCTAGTAATAGTATAGTGAATAATAATAGTAATAGTAATAGTAATAGATAATAGTAATTAGGTAATAGAATCGCAATTAGGCATAGCGTCGAATAGTAATAGTTAATGTAATAATAATAATAATAGTAATAGTACTAGTAATAGTAATAATAATAGTAATACTAATAGTAATACTAATAGTTATTAAAAGTAATTAGTAATAGTAATAGTAATAGTAATAGTAATAGTAATAGTAATAAAATAGTAATAGTAATAGTAAATAGTAATAGTAATAGTAATAGTAATAGTAATAGTAATAATAATAGTAATAGGAATAGTAATAGTAATAAGAATAGTAATGATAATAGTAATAGTAATAGTAATAGTAATAGTAAGAGTAAGAGTAAGAGTAAGAGTAATAGTAATAGTAATAGTAGTAGTAGTAGTAATAGTAATAGTAATAGTAATAGCAATAGCAATAGCAATAGCAATAGTAATAATAATAGTAATAGTAATAGTATTAGTAATAGTAATAGTAGTAGTAGTAGTAGTAGCAGTAGCAGTAGTAGTAGTACGAGTAGTAGTAGTAGTACTAGTAGTAGTAGTAGTAGTAGTAGTAGTAGTAATAGTAGTAGTAGTAGTAGTAGTAGCAGTAGTAGTAGTAGTAGTAGCAGTAGTAGTAATAGTAGTAGTAGTAGTAGTAGTTAATAGAAATAGTAATAGTAATAGCAATAGCAATAGCAATAGCAGCAATAGTAATAGTAATAGTAATAGTAATAGTAATAGTAATAGTAATAGTAATAGTAATAGTAATAGTAATAATAGTAGTAGTAGTAGCAGTAGCAGTAGTAGTAGTACGAGTAGTAGTAGTAGTAGTAGTACTAGTAGTAGTAGTAGTAGTAGCAGTAGTACTAGTCATAGTAGTAGTAGTAGTAGTAGTAGTAGTAGTATAGTCTTCCTGCCTTCCTTCCTGTCTGCCTGCCTGCCTGTCTTCCTTCCTTGCTGCCTTGCTTCCTTCCTTGCTTCCTGCCTTCATGCCTTCCTTTCTTCCTTCCTTCCTTCCTGCCTTCCTTCCTGTCTGCCTGCCTGCCTTCCTTCCTTGCTGCCTTGCTTCCTTCCTTGCTTCCTGCGTTCCTTAGTTCCTTCCTTCCTTCCTCGCCCTTTCTCCCCGCCTTCCTTCCTTCCTTCCTTCCTTCCTTCCTGCCTTCCCTCCTGCCATCCTTCCTTGCTGCCTTTCTTCCTGCCTTCCCTCCTTCCTTCCTTCCTTCCTGTCGTGCTTCCTTTAATAAGGGAAAGTTTTTTTTGATTGGAAAAAAGTTTTTTTTAGATTGAAAAAAAGTTTTTTTTTTTGATTGAAAAAAAGTTTTTTTTTGATTGGCATCCCAGCCTCTACTGCATGGTGATTGGCACCCTCACGCCAGCTGGCAACCGGGTATTTTGGTATTACTCCCGCCTGCTTTGCACAGGTAGTCGCCATGTGCTGTCTGACCATCACGTAGTCAATCTGGGGTTGCAGCTTACCAAATGTAAAGGTGGCCAAAGTGTGTGCCCAAGTGGGTGCTTTCCACGTGTTTAGAACCACCAGCGCCTGCGCCTCACAAAGATGCATGAGGTCCATGTAGTCAGCCTTGTGGTTCTCCACCACCGGGAGCACATGTGGTCCACAGACCTTTGGCACAGGGCTGCAGGAGCTATTGAAGTCGCCCGACATGATGAGGGCGTGGCGCCGCGGCAGGCCAGACAGACATCTTTGGAGACACAGAAGGAAGCGATGCCTGTTTTCAGGCGTCTCCGGTTTGTCGTTAGCTGCATATTGATAGACATTAAGTGGAACTTTGCCTGCTTGGATCCGCACATGTAGTAGTCGTCCCGGGTGCACACCTTGGTACTGCAGATCGGTCTTGGCTGCCAGCTTGGCTGACACAATGGTGAGCAAGCCCCCGACCTTGTCCAATTTGTTCCTCCGCCGTGCTCCAGCAGTTGTCCTCGGCCCATTTTGTCTCCTGAACAAGGCAGATGTCCATGTTTTCATCCCGGACAAATGTGAGCAGCTCCTGGTACACATTACTGCTCAATCCACCCGCGTTCCAGGTCATCGTTCGAAGCAATCCTGGTATTAGACTGGGGTGCAGGAGACATTGTCTTGGGCAGATACACCGGTCGCACTCTGGCTCGCTGAAACCATCCTGGTTGATGCCACCCTCCTCGGTAGTACGCCCCACCTTGTCGCATCGCCCTGGCGTAGGCTCGCTGGTAGGACCTTTTCATGATTCTTGAGTTGTCGGAGGCCAAGGTTGTAGAAGGCATGCTGGCCTCTCGTAATCTGCTTGACTTCGCCTCCAAAGAGGCTCCCGGCGGCATAGCTGACGGACCGCCAACCCTCACATCTGTGCTCCCAGCTTTGACAATTTGCAGCTGATACATGAATAGGCTTTTTGATCTTGCCAAGTCTGCTGCACACTGTGTAGAGCCCCATGAGAAAAGTGCCATGAGGATCCGACCTATACCGAACAGGATCGAGGCAACAGCGAGGCCGAGGGACCTGATCAGGGCGCAAGCATAACCTCCCAGATAAAGAGGAAGCAGTGCCACCGATGCGGTACAGAGTAAGCTTTGCGCCGTAGTAGAACAGAAGGTGCAGGTAGAGTACCTGGCCGCCCCCGTGCATTGCAGGCAAGTGGTGGTTGCATTCGGCATGACAAACGTCTTCGCAACTTCGGTCTTTTTGTTCCACGGCTGCTCTGCCCCGGTGTGATCATCTGGAAGTGCAAGCATGGGCAGCTCAGGCTCATGCAAAAGACAACCCGGCAGATCAAGGCCCATTGGCTCCACATCGGGTTTTACCCTAGAGGTTTTAGGGTCCCTAGGCGGCGCTTTCACTGTTCCGTCGCCTCGGCGAGTAGTGTGGGTGAGGCTAGGCACAATCAAGAAAAACTGCCAAGCGCAAAGAGAAGCGACTATCAGAAGAAGCATGCGCGATTGAGAGCCCCACTTCCGATTGGCCCTGGGCTTTGCCGTAGCACCGCCTCGTGCCCGATCCGTCATGTTGGGCGGCGTCACAGGTGCCACCGCTGAGGCATGCGAAGACGCCGTTCCAACTCCAGCTGTCCCCCCAGGCACCAGCGCTCCAGGTCCCCATGTCACTGTGGTACTGCTGCCGCCGGCGCCACTGGGCATTGCCGTCGTTGTCGGAGTAGTCCCTGGCCCTGTCCCATCCCCTGCAGCTGCCACCGTGTCCTCGGAGACATTCAGCTCTGACTCGCTGGCGTCCTCGCTTGCATTCATCCACAAAGTGTTTGGGTGGTAGCTCGCTAGGCGATTGCCCAGGGGGGAGATGTCAATCCTCAGTGAATCCATGGAGGACAGGCTTCCGGTAATCAGCGTCAGCGCCCTTCGAATGGGCGTGCCACGTCGCTCCATCTCGTTGGCGATTGCCAATGAGATTGCATGGCTTTGCGGCTGTTCCGCTTGCACCACATGTGGAGGCGGGGGCCCCGCCGCAATGGCGTACCATGCGGCGTATGATGTTCTTCACTCTCTTCAAATTCACTGGAGTGGATGGAGTCGTCCCTCGCAGCCATGCTCACTGTAGCCCGTGTGCACAACAGAGGCCCCAAAGTGGAGATTGGGCCTGTGTGGGCCGCTGCAGCCCTGAACTCTTGAGCCTGCACATTGGAACGACAACTGATCACAGTCATCAGCCTGAAGAGAGTTGCTGTCAGCTGCTCACACTTACTCAAAGAACTCAAAGAACTCTCCCAAAACTTGAATGGGGCACTGTAACACCATGCAACGCAGTAGAGCCCGCTGCCAGCACCTGGCGCGGAGAACAGAGCGCCTGAGGTTCCTGGCCCGGCTGCGAGAGCCACGCCTGCGGCGTCGAACGGGCCATCGTCGAGTCCAGCGTCTGCCTCGCCTCCCTATACAGTGGAAGTCTGTCGACGGAGCAGGCGGGCGCTCTTCAATCCATGCTATGGAGGTCCCAAACGCCCAAACACGAGGGGTCCCCAGGGTCAGGCCATAGGAAACTGCTCCAGCTGGGATGATACAGTGCGCACCACCTGCGAATACTCGCCTCGTCGGGCGGGTACTTGGAGTATCTAGCAGCTTGCAGTATAACTCCAGGATGGGCGGCTGTGCCCCATTGCAAATCAAAGCCGTTGAAGTAGTCTGGATCCGAAAGCCATCCCTTTGCAACCCGCAGCATGTGTTGACCCACTGTGGAAGTCCAGTGGACCCGAATGCCAACATCCAAGAAGGATTCCCGGGCTGCCTCATGCGCCGGGGAGGCAGGCATCTTGTTTCGGCCCATGCTGCCGCTTGCAGTAATGGCGTGCCAAAGAGCACACTCAAAATCAAAAGCAGTTGCGCCATTCACTTGCAGAGCTGGAAATTCGTGTGTTTCCCTGGAGCACAGCTACAAGTAAAGGCGCTCGCATTTGCGAGTCCTCAAGGCTTCGGGCAACACGCCCCTCTCGGCCGAGATGCTTGTAGTAGTAGTAGTAGTAGTAGTAGTAGTAGTAGTAGTAGTAGTAGTAGTAGTAGTCATCGGTCGTCGCCGTAGTCGTGGTCGTAGTCGTGGCCGTAGTGGTAGTCGTAGTAAGTAGTAGCAGTAGTAGTAGTTGTAGTTGTTGTTGTGGTGCTAACAGCAGTAGTAGACGAAGAAGTAATACTAGTAGTACTAGTACTGATACTAGTAGTAGTAGTAGTAGTAGTAGTAGTAGTAGTAGTAGTAGTAGTACTAGCAGTAGTAGTAGTAGTAGTTGTTGTTGTAGTAGCCGTAGCAGCAGCAGCAGCAGCAGTAGCAATCGTAGTAATCGTGATAAAGTGGAAGTCGTTGTCGTCCCCGTCGTCGTAGTAGCAGTTGTTGTTGTTTCCGCCAGCACCCAATCAACTCTTGAAAGTAGATCGATACGACATAAACCCTAAAACCCTAAACCCCAAACCTTAAAATAGTACGCTCTTCAAGCAAGCAGCTCCGTCATGGAGCGTGGATGGCCGCTCCCGACTTTGCTTCGCAACTTCGTCAGTGTGGAGTCCTTCATTTGTAGGCGAAACATCCAGTAAAAGTCTAAGCAGAGGACCCAAAACAAGCAAAGCCGACTTTAATTGCAACTTGGTTGCCTGAAAAGTCGCCGCGTCATCGTGCTTTCCCAGAGCACACAAGGACAGAGCCCAGGCACTGCAGACGGCCAGGGTATCCATGTGGGACTCGCCCTTTTTGCGATTGTACACTGTCTGAAGGTACTCAAAAAGCCTCGGCTTTTGCTGCTTGAGTTCTACGAACGCATACGCCAAATGGTGAAACAAGTCCTGTTAACGAAGCCGTGCAACTTCGTTGCTTCACTGTGGCAACCTGCGGAATGAAACAGCCCAGGGCATTTCAGACAGCATGTTGCGGGGCTTCGAGAGTCCAAAGAGACAGTTGTGTAGGTGTAGGCTACAGAACCTCAGTCGGAGATCACTCTTCGCTTTGTTTGTGATCCTACATGGCATCAGTTGATGATTTTAGCTGAATGCCCAAGCCTTTGTTCAAGGCAAACCCTTGCGAGGTGCAGATTTCAGCTACCCCTTGAGGCGTCAGTCTTGAGCATCGGACTTCGGCACTTGTGAATTCAGGAGGCCTCGGTTTCAAGGCTTTGGGTGGGCTGCACTCCATCAAAATGGGATCTCTTAAGTTCGGGTCCTTATACTAACCGCTGCTGGCCATCCTGAATCCTATGACCTAGGATCGTAAATTCCAGTCTCTTCTTTTCGGAAACTGTCCTTCTCCGGCGAGCGCTTGTGCCAGATGGTAGGTTGCCGCTAATGCTTCTGGGTGCTCCTGGACCCATGGCGGACATGCTCCGAGCTTTTATGTGTCTTTAAGGTGCAATTGCTGAGCGAATCACTGCATGCTAGAGCTTAGGGTTTAGGCTTCCCAACCCAGAACTCAAGCAAGCTAGATCCCAGAAATTGACGCCTCCAGAGGGGTTACTTGCAGTCAGAATCATACTAAAACTAGCAACAATAACAACTGAAGCATAACAGCAATCAAAACAACAAGAAGAACAGCAGTGATAGCAATAACAACAATAACAATGATCACAATAGTAACACTAGTAACAACAAAACAATGGCAGTGATCACAATGATCACCATAACCACAGTAAATACAATGATAACAAAACCAGTCGCCACCCAGCGGCCGGAGCAAAGCACAAGAAACTCCGTGGGCGAACCCCCCAACTCTAAACAAGAAACATCTGGACGTCAGCTAATGCCGCCGAATCCGAATGTCCTAGATTACGATAGCAAGACCCCACAACTCCAAGACTCTGTGCTTCTCACCCTCTTGGCCCCTCATCCCCCCACCTCGCCCAATCGGTCCGCCCGTTGGTAGGCTTGCCGGGCCAAGAGGAGGGCTGCTTTACCAACAAATGGCCTGGGGGGTTTAGGGTCTAAGGGTTCAGAATTTGGGGGTTAGAATGTAGCGTTTAGGGTTTAAACGTGGGCACCCGCTGAAAACTTCAGGGAGCTGTTTGGGCAACCAGCTTCCGTGCGGTGTTCGTTCAGCACAGAGCTCCAAGCGCGATGCTGCTTTTGGATGTTTTCCCTCTCCCACGCGCTTGGGGTTTAGGGTTTAGGGCTTAGGGCTCAGGGTTGCAGGACCCTGTACTACACATGAGTTGTTGAATTTGAAGCTACACCAGGGGGCCTCCTAATTGGAAGACTTTATTGTGCCTACTGCTGTACTGTCGATGGACCCTCCAACCCTGCAGTGCTCGTAGGACCTGAAAATCATCGAAAGACAACCGACCAAATGCAGTACAACTGTACTGAGTCTATTGCGAAGCACTGGTGGCACACGTCGCAAGTTCGGAAATTCCCCTGGTAGGTGCACCATTGTGCCAAGCATTCCGCATGAACGTAGCCAGACGAACCGCGGCAGGCGCATGGGGACAGAAGTTCATTCGCACCGCTGCCGGCTTCCAAACAAAGGCGGCAGGACATGCATTGGTGTGATACCCTTGCGCTCTCACTAAGCTGCTCTGATTTTGGCCAATGCTTGCGGCGTGAGGCAGCGCAAAAGCAGAGCAATTTGCACGCACATACCCGAAGCAGGCTGCTCAGGACAATCCATGCCAGGGCGCAGACACGCAGAACTCTTCGCGCAGGTAGGCGCATCAAGAAATCATGAAGGGACGGACTTGCCTGCACCACAAGACAAAAGTTTGCGGTGAAATCAATCCATGTGAAGCCTACGAACGTGTTCGAACCATTGGCTCAATGAATGCCAGAATCACTCTTGCTTCAATCCATGAAGCAAAAGCGCAAGGCTACGACCTGGAGCGTTCCCGGCCAAGCAACACAACTGGGATTCTTGATGGTTCATGTAACCGCTTGTACTGAACAGGGGCTTCTGCATGCCCCATGTTGGGAAGCATCACGGCGATTTAAGCTGCGTGGAATGTACCATGGGCGACGCACTCAGGTC